CAGCCCATATGATCATCTGGAGATTGGTGAGTTGTAGGCAGGCAGCTCCTCAGCTGCGTTGGGTTATGTGCTCTGGGGAGTGGCACATCAGAGCTGGTGAATGCCAACAACATGACACTGGAAGCAGCTTTCTTTTTGATTGGCTGACTCATTCCCCCCAAAAGCCCCAGAAATTATTGGCCTTAGAGAGCAGATCCTATGTGTCCTATGTAAAACTCCCATTTCATATGGTCTTCGTGTCTCACTTGAATCGATACAGGCTTTCACCTATTCGTTCATATTCTTGATCATTTCTGTTTCCCTCTAATTTTTCTTGTTTCTACTTTCTTCTCTTGTTTCTTTTCTTTCTACACAAGAGGCTGGGGAAGAGGTGACTGGATGTGGGCAGGCATTGAACACACAAGCCAGTGATCATGGCTGTTTGCTATCAAGCCCCACGTGTGCCTTTTGTGACACCACGTATTCCTTAAGTAAGCCTGAGGTATTGTATCCCTCATTTAGGTATTTTTTGGAAAGTGGCAGAACTTGAATTTGAAGACAGTTTTGCCCTACTCCCCAGAGCAAAGCCTGTCACTGGTGCTGCGTGTGTAGGATGGGAGCGGGAGATGGTGACCCATTGGCACAGTGATAAGAGTCACCACTTATATAAGGAGACTCCTGTACATTTCTCATCTCATCACCTCCAGTGGGATTCCTCCAGCCTGGAGTTGTCATGTTTGTGTGTAGCCTTGCTCTGGATGGAAGGACTACATTCTCCTGACGGCTTGCCTGAATCAGATCACTGTACCCTCAGGTTACAGATCCTCTGTGACTCAGGAGGTCAGAACCATATCTCTAAGCCAATGTCGGAGGGAGCCAGAATATTAGAAGGCAGAGGGAAGCAGAACTATAAATTCCGCTCCCCCGCCCAGGATAATTACCCAAACAGAGTTTTGATGGGAACAAGTGCAAGATTTCTAGAGTTGAAAACAAGACTAGAAAGAAACACAGGTCCCCCTGCGCACACATCCACCCTCATACATATGCACACCTCTCTCAACTGCAGTTCTGGCCTCAACCTGTCAGAAACCCATCTCGTCGTCTTTGTCTTCACTGCGTGATGGTTGCACAGGGCTCATTGTCTCCTCTTCTGCAGCAGTGTCCTGACCAGTACCCCTGCCTTCAGGCGCCCAGCTCCCTTTCTGATGCCTTCTTCTTAGATAATTGTGATCTTAAAGCAGGTCTCCCCACCATGCTGCTTTCCTGCTTCAGCCTTGACCGTGGTTTCTCAGGCTGTGTCATCCTCCTTCTCAAGATCTGGCTCACCCCTACTAGCCCCCCTCGCCGCTCGGCCTTCCCCACACTGAGCTTCCCGCAGCTCCTGGACTTGCTGGGCCCCCTCACTCCCTTTGCCTAGAACAACATTCCTGGCATTCACCACCTGGCTCCCTCCTACTTATCCTTCAAAGCTAAACTCAAATAGACCTCCTCTGGGGGAAGCTTTCTCAGGCCCTCTTCCCTCCCCTTCATCCTGGGTTAGATGCCGTGTTCTCTGTACTGCTTTAACACCCTGGCTTCCCTCTATCATAATCCTAAACCACGCTATTGTATTGCTCTATTTACCTGAGCTATGAGGTATGACCTCATTGACCTATGAGCTCTTAGAGGGCAAAGAATTCTGTCTTCTGTATAGTTATATTTATCATCTCAGGGCTTGGAACAGGGCAGTAAGTGTTCAATAAGTGTTTACTGATTGTGCTTTTCAAAAAGCAATTTATGAAATGCAGAGAAGAGGAGAATAGAAATTGCAAGCACATGCTCAGGGCGAGAGATCTTAGAACTCTTAGCGGAGCACATCGATTTTGTGTTTGCTGAGACTGTTGCCTGCTGGTTCTTTCCCATGGCAGAGAAATTCTGTGCAGTAGGCTATGGGCTGGAGTGGGCGGGGGTGGGGTTTGTCCCACATACCTGGGGTAGTCACCTAATTTGTACAGACCCTTCACAACCTGGGCTTCTGGGTTTTCTTTCTGGGTGGAAATCATCTTTTGTGGAAAATAGAATTGCTCCGGGAAAAAAAAGTTTTCAGTTTTTTTTAGCTCTTTTTGTGTTCTGCTGTTCAAGCATGAAGAAGACAGAGGCCTGTTTGAGTCTCAACAGGATCATGTTTCACGATCCCCAAAAAGTGTTTGTGTTACTTCAAGCCACGCGGAAGGTGAAATATAGCTTACAGGGGCATCCTGTTGGACCAGAGTCTACTTTTCATCTTGCTGTGGGGCTGTGTGCAGTTGGTGTGGCAGGATTCGATCCCCCTGAGGTCTGTAAGAGTTCTACATGGTGATAAGATCCAAGGCCAGAGTGCCTGCTTCCAGTAGAGAGACATGTAGAATTTCAACACCAAACATTTTATAAGCTCCTAGTATGTGCAAGGTTTAATGCAAAGTGTGTAGGTGATGCAGGATGATCAGAATTGGACTCCATCCTTAAGAAGAAGGATGGGACCTGATCCCATCAGAAGAAAGGCTGATGAGCAAAGTTTTGCAGACACAAGAGCACATGGCTTACTCTAGGCCCAGACATGACTTTGGTTCCCAGACAAGGTGCGCCTTTTATTGAACTATGTGCCAGACATAGGTTTAGAATTCTTATCAAGTACTTTCTCACCTTTAACCTTCATTTCATTCTTATCTCGCAGTTGGGAAACGGAAATTCTTAATATGTATTGGGTGTGAGCTCAGGAAATTAAATTGGGAAATCAGCCAGTAGACAGAGGTGGTGTCAGGATCTTGAAGGGAGGGATGTTTGTTTGAGGGTGTCCTCTGCTCTCTTTGCCCTCATTAGATGGCATGCAGGCTGGGAGAAAGATCTCTAAGAAATGAGATCAGTAAGAGCCTTTATTTGGTGGGGCTCGCTGCTGGGCTAGAGGAAGTGGAGTTGAGAGCCAGCAATGGAGGGACTGACTGAAACCTCTTCCTTGGGGACAGAGCAAAGGAGGAAGGAGAAGGTAATTTCCAGGTAGCGATGAGGACATATGTTCTGCACCTGTCAGAGAAGACTTGAAAAGTTTTGTTGATCTCTACATTTAGCTGTGTTTGTTCAGATTTCCTTATACTGAGGCATCTGAAACCCACTTCCCTACTTGTTGGTAAAGAGTTCCCAGGCAGGGCAGCCTCGGGCCTCCTAGCAGGACTGAACAGACCTTTTCTCCCGAGTCTCAACTTGTCCCTGGCAATGAGAAAAACCTTCCTGTGTCACAGTTCTCACTGTTCACACCTCCTTAGAAAATGAGACAAAAGGTTTAATTTTTTTTCTTTGCAAAGGGTCCATTCAATTGCACTCAGACTGTAACTGTTTTCAAATGTTCCATTTCTTGACTAACATTTCACTTTTCTATTTTTTTTCCACTTTCTTAGAACTTAGAAATTGCCTGGCCCTTCTTATTTTTCAACAAAGGAGTAATAAGAAGATATTTGAGTAGGTCATCTATGAAATGGGTACAAAAACTCAAAAGGTACAAAGGATTTTGTGGTGGCTAGTAAGCCAATGTTTCCTTTGGCCTTCTAGTCACTGAGTTCTCCCAGGGTAACCAGCGTCCAGTGATTTTGGTTGCATTTTGCTAATGACTGTATCACTAGAGAGAACACTGTGGAAATCGGTTCAACAAAGGATACAAGTCCTTTCTGTGGCCAGGCTTTGGCTGTTAGAGTCTTGGTGTTGGTGCAGTCTTACTAAGAACTTCATTTTTTTTTTTTTGCCTGTAATGTGTCCAGAATGAAGTCACAGGGCTGTCCTTATTAGTGAATGAATTACCATCTGCAGGACAAAGACTCTTCATCCAGAAAGCTGTTAGACATAGGAACTTTGAAGTGTTTTAGTCCCCATTTCAAAACCCAGCCATATGTTTCCTATTAAATTACATGACTGACAGCTGCCTCTTACAGTTACTTAGTACAAACTCCTGTTGCTAACTTGCTCAAATGGGGATCTGTGTATTTATTTTCCCACCTAATACAAAGCATAGATTTCTCTTATTTGGGTAACTGAGCAAGTTCTTGAATCTTTCATGATAAGCTAATTGAGGCAGAAACTCTGCCTGAGCCATCCTTATACACTTGCCAGTAAGCACTCAGTAAATGTTCCTCAATGATTCTAAGACAACTCAGTGAGGTCATATGCTCAGAAGGAGGAAGGAGGTTGTGGATGAGTGATAGGACAGTTTTCATTGACCTTTCCTCTGGGTTAGTTGCTGACTCCTTCAGCCAAGAGACCCTGGCTTCGTGACCTCCATCAGCTTGTTGACATCACTGGGCTTTCAGGAAAAAGCGATCATGACTGCTTCCTTGCTCCAGTGCCTGCTGATAGGAATTCATATTGGCTGATCTCTTCTGGTTACACCCTAGATTCCTTTGTGAGGAAAGGGAAAGTATTGAGGACTAGTGACGGTGACTAATGCTTCCTTTGTTTGAGAACTTATCTTTCACTGCTGCTCATTTACCTTGAGAAATAAGGAAGTGGGGCATGTAGATAGGGAGCACTGGACTGAGAGCCCATGCATATGAGGTCTGCTGCTGCCCTGGCTGTGCAACTTTGGGCCTGTCACCACCCTTCTCTGGGCCTCAGTTTCCCTCTCTGCGCAATAAGAATTGGACTCTGTGGTCTCCATGTTGTTGTGTATTTAGTTGCTCAGTCGTGTCCGACTCTTTGCAACCCTTTGGACTGTAGCCCCCTAGATGCCTCTGTCCATGTGGTTTTTCAGGCAAGAATACCGGAATGGGTTGCATTTTCCTCCTCCAGGGAATCGTCCTGACTCAGGGATCCAACCCACGTCTCCTGTGTCTCTTGCGTTGCAGGCAGATTCTTTACCTGCGTAGCCTTTGGGGAAGCCCATAGTCTTCATGGTCCTTCCCTATTCAAAGTTTGGGGGCCCCTTTCCCTAAAGTCCACACCCCTAGGATCTTCCCTTTGCCTGTCCCCAAGGCCCAAATGCTAATAGCTGATTGGGATCTCTGATTTTATGCTTCTAGGTTTTCTTCGTGTCTGACCTCTTCAAGACCAAGACAACACTCTCCCTGCCTCCTTCTGCCATCAGGAAGGACATCCTTTCACCTGTGGACATTATCGACAGGAACAATCACCACAACATGGTGTAGGTGTCACCCACCTCCTGAGCTGTTTTTGGAAAATGACTGCTGACAGCAAGTTTTTGCTGCTCTCCGATCTCATCAGACAGTAGAATGTAGGGAAAAACTTTTTGCCCGACTGATTTTTAAAAAGAAAAAAAAAAAAACAAAAAAAGTCTTACCTTGTGGCCTTCCAAAATAGGTAGTGTTCACCTATATGGAAACAACAGCAAACTAACAGCAAATGCAGGAATCCTGGATATGCAGTTGGTTTAAGTGTTCATGTTCTAGTGAACACGGGCTTGTTCTGGAACAAACACTAAGATGATCTGAGTAGAGTCTGCTGGTCACCTTTGTGACCCAAGGAATCCCAGGCCTGTTGGGAAAGCTCACATTCACCTTGTAGCACATGATGCCAGAAATAGCACTGAATCAGCAAACTAGCCATTGGGGGCTCCCCTCTCGTGTCTCTGTCCACACCACTCAATTCTCTACTGTGACTTTGGTTCAGGAACCTTATTTGTTTGTTTGTTTCTGCTTTTAAATATAAGAAAAGAGCAGGTTTGCTCAGTCCAGCGGTCAAATCCTGAATCCAGATTCCCAGTCATGAGGCCTCATCACTCACTTCCTCAGCCCATAGGCCAGCAACCACAGTCCCTCACTTATAGTGATTAGGTGACTCTTTGTGGATGAGTGAATTTCACAAATAGCACAATATTGGAAGAGCTGGAGGGTTCGGGCCCTTCCGTGTCTTCTCTTGACGCACCATCCTGTGATGCTGAAATGTCGATTACAGGATGCTGATGTTGTGTACAGCAATCACCCGGGCACTGGCACACTCAAGTAGTGATGATTAGCTTCGGCTACTGCTTTCTCCCTGGAAACCCTTGCTGGGTGCCCACCGGGATGGCCTCTGAGGGCCCGGAGACGAGCACAGAGGTGGTCTGCCATCAGCTGATGGAAAGCAGCCTTCCATGCAAGAGATGGAGGAAGGAAGGGGGCAGAATGAAAAATGAAGCAACCCTTTGGCTACTCACAGTCTGAATGAGCCAGAGTAGCAGACGGTCTCACATCCCAGAGGCGGCCCTTCCAGATAACCGAGTTGACAGGGGCAGGGTCTCTGGGGGAGCCGCTCTTGCTAAGCTGTGTAAAGCACTATTGTCTTGGGGTTGATCTCTAGGGCAGTTCTTGGTAGGTTCTGCTGGGCAGAACACGTGGGTTAAATCTCCGTAGAGTTTCCTCATCCTCTCTCCATAAGTGTCCTTCCAAGCAAGGTCCCACTTGAGGCAGCAGTCAGGGACCGCTTCTACTGAACCTTTGAGGAAAGGAGGAAGGAAGAAATGCTTTCAGATCTCGGATGCACACCTTTCAAAGGGCTAAATGTAACCACATGGGTCAACCACATGCACAGCCTTACTACAGAAGCCGTCCTGTCATTTCAACTTATAGCAAGCTATGATTTTTATATATAAATATTATATAAATAATGTATAAAACATTAAAAGTTAACTATGTAAAATATTATTTCTGAAACAATTTTAGCTATATCCACTATGATTATAAACTGTGTCTCGACCTGTGTTATTTACATTAGCTGCTTAAAAAAGCATGGAATTTTTTTTTAATATCAACTAAAATACCGTAGTTCTGTGGTAGATGTTTTTACAATGAAAGAAATAACTGCAACTAGAGAAAATTGTATAAAAACATTAAATTGCCAGTATTTTTGTAAGGTTCCATTTTGTAAAGAGAATAATATTCAAAGACTTTTGTAGAATACAAAGTGAAAACTTGTATCTGCGAAACTATACTTGTATTAAATGTGCTTTTTAAATAAAAGCTCATAACAACTAAGGAGGGAGCTGGAGACTTGGAATGGTTGAGGGGGGTTGGTCTTGGTGGTTGGGGGGGTGGGAGGAGGCCATACTCCTCCAGGGGCTCCCTTCCCCCACAGGGCACCACTGTGGGATTCTCTCCCTGGGAAATATAGTGGCTGTGGTGTAGATACTGATGCCCTGAGCTCTTTCATCTCCAAGAGCCTGTTTGCAGAGTGACGCTCTGGTCCTGCTCTCCTCTCGGAGAGCTCTCCTCTTCTAAAGAGCTTTTGTATTCTAAAGGGGGGTTTCCCTAGGGAGGGGGGAGTTGTGGGTCCCCCAAAGGCAGATAAGGAGCAGGCTGTTGATGATAAGTTGTGCTTGGGAAGTTCACTGAAGCAATCCTTTACACAGCCAGCGACATCAAAGGCAGGAGCGTGCACTGCTAAGAATGGCATCTGGCTCCTGCTTTTCCTCTCTGATCCCCTGGAGAAGGGAACGGCTATCCACTCCAGTATTTTTGCCTGGAGAATGCCACAGACAGGGAAGCCTGGTGGGCTACAGTCCATGGGGTTGCAAAGAGCTGGACACAGCTGAGCGAATTTCACTCACTCACTTTCTTCTCTGTGTTTCCCCAACCTGGAGGAGCAGGGGAAGCCGGACATCGTTTAAGCACCCGTGTGCCAGGCACTACAGCCTGTTTCTCACTTTTGATCCTTCCAGGAGTTCTGATTTTGAGAAATAAGGAATATGAAGGAATGCAAAGATGATATTTAAGATTGTGGAGGAGTAAACCACAGGCCAGAACTTGGATTCCTTTCCTATTGCTGCCGTAAAAAATTACCCACTAACTTGTGACTTAAAACAGCACAAGTGTATTACCTCCTAGTTCTGGAGGCTCTAGAGGTGCTATTTCCTGGTCTTTTACAACTTATGGAGGTCATCCACTTTCTTTGGTTTGTTTCCTCTCTTCAGAGCCAGCAGTGTTGGGCTGAGTCCTCATTCTGTCATCTCGCTGATTCTCTTCTGCCACCCCTTCCACATTTAGGGCCCTGATGATGACAGTGGATCCACTCAGATAGTTCAGGATAATCTACCCAAGTTACAGTCAGCTGACTAGCAGCCTTAATTCCATCTGCTACTTAATTCCCACTTTGTCATGTTTCACAGGTCCTAGGGATTAGGATGTGGACATCTTTGAGGGGACCATTATTTTGCCTACCTCTGGCTCCCAAAGATTTACATCCATCCCATATTCAAAGTACATTCATCCTATCCCAACATTTCCCAAAGTCTCAACACTTTATAACATCAGTTCAAAATCTCAAATCTCATCATCCAAACTATATCATCTAAGAAAGGTAAGAATGAGGTTCTGCGTTTAATCCATCCTGAGACACAATTACTGTCCATCTATGAATCTAGGAATCTGTGAAACTTAAGAGATAAGTCATCTGCTATTCAAAAGAGAAAATGGAAGGGAAAAAAGGAGTCACTTGTCTCAAGCAATTTTAAAATACAATCAGGCAAACTCCATTTGGTATCTCCACTCAGATACCTTCCTAATTCAGCATTTTCTCGGCATTTTCCTATGAGTGGACATAACTTTGGGTCCCACAATGCAGAGAGGGAGATTCTTAAGGCCAGAGTCTGAAGTGTTCCCTTCAAATCTAGGGGAACAAAGGTCCAGATAGATAAAATAACTTGCTGGCAGGAGGAGAGGGACACACAGCAAGTTAGTGGAGGAGCTGTGGAGATCAAGTCCGTGCATACTACTAGTCTCCCTGTCTTCCCCTTATACTTATCCAATAGTACTTGATGAATTAAACTAGTCTTAATAAGAAATAGCACCATTTCATGGGTACTTAAGGAAAGAGGGGCTTCCTTTATGGCTCAGTTGGTAAAGAATCTGCTGCAATGGAGGAGACCCAGGTCTGATCTCTGGGTCGGGAAGATCCCCTGGAGAAGGGATTGGCTACCCTACCCAGCATTCTTGCCTGGAGAATTCCATGGGGTTGCAAAGACTCAGACATGACTGAGCGAATAACACGTTCACTTAAGCAAAGATGGAGCCACACCATAATATAGGGCAGCTCTGGGATTCAGATTCAAATTATTTCAGTTATTTGTTGATTAATGCTCATTAAGTACTCTGTACCAGGCACTGGTAAATCCATGAAGAACAGTGGGTGAAAGGGACAAGATCACAGCTTCAAGAGACTTATGAGTTAGAGAAGGATGCAAAAACTCAAATTTAACTAGGTAATTAAGAACTAAGATGAGTGTTACAAAGAAAGAATACAGGAAGTTAAGAGAGATAATAGCTGGAGGACCTATCCTGTCTGATGGTGGCTTTTCTGAGATCTACCAAGGGCCAAAGCCTGTTTACAGTATCCACACCAATGACATGAATGGAAAGGGCTCTGCAAGATGTAGGTCTAGGAGAAGAGACAACTGAGTGAGTAAGAGATTATGGTAGTATGCTAATGGGCGGAGGAGCCTGTGTGAAGTGTTGCAGGAGCGTAATGAGTAGAATTAGTTAGACTTCGATGTCCTCCCTGTGGACCCTCTCCCCATCTCTGGTAAGCATCTATTCTAGAATATCCAACCCAGAAAAAAAATTCCAGCTTCTGGATGAACCCTTCCAATGACGCTCACTTTGCCTGCAACAGCCCACTGCAGTCTTTGGAAAACTTGAATGCACACATCACATTTTGATTCTCCTCACCTCCTTTGAAGAGAAGACAAGGCATGAATGGCCCAAGATATCAGAGGTGAATGTTAGAATCAGGGAGGTTTTGGTAGTTTTCTTTTGATATCAGAATGATGAGTAAGAAAAAGAGAGACAATCCATTTTTAGAACTTTCTAACAGAGGGTATCTCCTCAAAGTTGCTCCAGCACTGCCCAGCCACCACTCCAGTGCCCACTGTCTTGGTGGGGCTTCTCTGGCCTTGGACATGTGCTATCTCCTCAAAGTCACTCTAGTGCCGCACAGCCCCCGCTCCAGGGCTGTATACTGTCACCATGCTTATTTAACTTATATGCAGAGTACATCATGAGAAATGCTGCACTGGATGAAGCACAAGCTGGAATCAAGATTGCTGGGAGAAATATCAATAACCTTAGACATGCAGATGACACCACCTTTATGGCAGACAGTGAAGAGGAACTAAAAAGCCTCTTGATGAAAGTGAAAGAGGAGAGTGAAGAAGTTGGCTTCAAACTCAACATTCAGAAAACTAAGATCATGGCATCTGGTCCCATCACTTCATGAGAAATAGATGGGGAAACAGTGGAAACAGTATCAGACTTTGTTTTTTAGGGCTCCATAATCACGGTAGATGGTGATTGCAGCCATGAAATTAAAAGATGCTTACTCCTTGGAAGGAAAGTTATGACCAACCTAGAGAGCATATTAAAAAGCAGAGACATTACTAGGCCAACAAAGGTCCGCCTAGTCAAAGCTATGGTTTTTCCAGTGGTCATGTATGGATGTGAGAGCTGGACTATAAAGAAAGCTGAGTGCCGAAGAATTGATGCTTTTGAACTGTGGTGTTGGAGAAGATTCTTGAGAGTCCCTTAGACTGCAAGGAGATCCAACCAGTCCATCCTAAAGAAAATCAGTCCTGAATATTCATTGGAAGGACTGATGCTGAAGCTGAAACTCCAATGCTTTGGCCACCTGATGTGAAGAACGTACTCATTTGAAAAGACCCTGATGCTGGGAAAGATTGAAGGTGGGAGGAGAAGGGGATGATAGAGGATGAGATGGTTGGATGGCATCACCAATTCAATGGACATGAGTTTGAATAAACTCTGGGAGTTTGTGATGGACAAGGAGGCCTGGCATACTGCAGTCCATGAGGCTGCAAAGAGTTGGATGTGACTGAGTGGCTGAACTGAACTGAACAGAGGGTATACAAATGGGAGATAAACATAGAAGTGTGCTCAGCTTTATTAGTCATAGGAAAATGCAAATTAAAATTACAGTGAGATATTGCTTCATACTTGTGACACCCTTGTCTAATTAAAAAAAAAAAACTGGTAGTACTAAATGTTGTTGAAGAGGTAAAACAACTGAACTCTCATTCACTGCAAGCAGGGATGTAAATTGGTTCAGCCAGTTTAGAAAACGTTGGGAGTATCTACTAAAGCTAATAATATGCATACCCCATACCCCCGAAACTCCACTCCTACCCAAATATACACCCAACAGAGGGATGTATATATTCTCACCAAAACTTGAAACAACTCAAATCCACATCAACGATTGAGCCGATCATTAAATAATGAAATTAAACATTCACATGAGGATAGCATTTAGCAATGAAAATGAACAAACCCCTTCAATGCACAACAATACAAGTAAATTTCACATAAAAGATATTGAGTGAATGGAAACAGGCACAACAAAATACATATAGTATGAGTTCGTTTTTATGAAGTTCAAAATAAGCAAACTCACAGCAAAAGAAACAATCAACAAAAGGACAATCTACCTAAAAGGGAAGATAAATATCTGCAGACTTTATATCCAATAAGGCATTAATACCCCCAAAATATAAAGAAATCATACAACTCAATAGCAAAGAACAAATAATCCAATTAAAAAATGGATAATGGTCCTAAGTAGACATTTTTCCAAAGTATATGGATGACCAACAGGTACTTGAAAAGATGCTCTACATTACTAATCACTAGGGAATGCTAATCAAAACCATAATGAGATATCACTTCATCCTGTTAGAATGACTAATATCAAAAAACAAGATATAATAATTGCTGGTAAAAATGTGAAGTATAGGGAACCCTTGTGCGAGTGGTGGTATGTAAGCTGATACAGCCACTATGGAAAAACAATATGGAGGTTCCTCAAAAAAAAAGATAGAATTATATGATCCAGCCATTCCACCTCTGGGTATATATCTGGAGAGAGTGAAAACTTTGTGTTGAGATATCTGCACCCCCCATGTTTTTAACAGCATTATTTACAATAGCCAAGACATGGAAATAACCTAAGTGTCCATCAACAGATGAAT